AACGGGACTTTAATTCTAAAAAGAATGAACAATGCCTGCAGAATCACCACTAAAAAAAGGTGGTAATAAAAGGTTCAATAGAAAGCGATTGCCAGATGCAGTTACATCAGTAGAGTGGATGCAATACTGGAATAAAAAAAGTAAGGAACAAGAAGAAAAGAAAATAGGAAATTAGCAAGAGAAGAAAAAAAGAAGTTACAAGAGTTGAAAAATGTTTAGAAACCTAAAACAAAACGAGTAAAAAAGAGAGTTTAGAATAGAATTGATTCTGATTCCGATGAGGATAATTTACCTTTGATCAATTTAATTACAGTAATAAAGATAGATCAGACGAGGAAATAGGATCATATGTTATAGTAAACTACGAGAGGAGTATTTTCCCAGGATTGTCAAAAATATTGACCAAAAGAGTAAAGAAGTTAGTACGATGGTGATATCAACTTCTAAAACTTTTAAATGGCCAGATAAAGAAGATAAAATTTGGTATGCTAATGACAGCATAGTGAAGAAAATTAATGCTCCTGTGTCAATTAATAATAGAGGTTCATATAAAGTACCAGAAATAACCAAGTATCTTTTTTGGATCTGATTGCTTTTTTAATTTTGCTGTTTTTAATTTGATCAAATCTCAGTATGAGATTTCCAATTCATTTGATAGTCAATTTGTACACCTAGAAATTTAATGTCAGAGACTGATTCAATTATGTCATCATTAATATCAAAAGTTACATTCGGTTTGTGAGTTTTTTGCCTAAAATGCATTATTTTTGTTTTATTAGTATTAAGTATATTAGATTGTTTAATTTTAACCAGTCATTAACATTTTTCAGAGCTACATTTATTTTTTGTTCGTAAGTGAGGATGTCATCACATTTGATTATGGCAGTACTATCATCGGCAAACATTATGATAGGGTGATCAATAACAGTTGATAGATCATTTATGTACACATTGAAAAACAAAGGTCCTACTATGCTGCCTTGTGGTACACCTACTTCCACATCTCTACAAACTGATGAAAATGTCTTTATCATTCCCGATTTACTACACAACTTTGTTATAACAGTATACTGTTTCCTGTTACTGAGATAAGACCTCATCAAATCATGTGCTATACCTCTTACACCATATGAGTAAAGCTTGTCCAGCAGCAATCTGTGATCAACATGATCAAATACGCTTGTCATGTCCATAAATATCGCACATACATGTTGTCTTTTATCAACAGAATTAATAACAGACTGTAACAAGTGATAAATTGCCATATTTGTATTTTTATCTCGTCTAAAACCATATTGCTCTTTACAAAATATGTTATATTTCTCAAAATATTGGTAAAGATTGTCACAGATAATTCTTTCAAATATCTTTGAGATAACATTTAATTGGGCTATTGGTCTATACTGTTTTATGTTACTGTGTTCTCCTTTTTTATATATTGGCTTAACAATAGCAATTTTTGACGCATCAGGAAACACGCCGGAATCAAACATCAAATTTATTACATGATTTAAGGGGGATGCCAAATATTTAGAAAACTCCTTAACCACTTTAGTAGGAATACCATCTATTCCAACACTTTGCGTCATTTTTAATGATTTTATGGTTTTAAGTACCAACTCGATTGTACTTTGAGGCATTAATATCGAGTTAGACACGGAAAACCTCTGTGAATAAGAACGACCACTATTGTTAACTTTTTGTACTGAATCCACAAAGTGATTATTAAATAAATTTGCCATTTTTGTTGGATCACTTACTTTTACACCATCTTCATTATAAACTAGTTGCGCTGTTTCTGCGGGGAACTGATTTTTATTTTTGTTAACTTGTCATGCTGCTTTAGATTTATTAACAGATATGCTGATATTATGGTTATTTTGTGAAAGTTGTGTGAGCTTTATAATCTTTTTATATCTTTGGGAATAAGTTCGGAGCAGATATTTATTTTCCTTGGTTGGACAAGATCTGTACCTCCAAAGCAGTTGTCGCTTTCGTTTACTACACAATCGAATACCTTGTGAGATCCATTTGGGTCTTTTATTAGATTTTATGGTCATTAATTTTTCAGGAAAACAAAGATTATGAAACAAAATAACTGTCTCTATAAAAGCACTGTAAGCTTTGTTAACATCATTCGCTTCATATACATCACAAAAACTCAATGCCTTAAGAGCTTCATGAAATTTATTTTTATTTTCCTGGCAATAATCACGCCTACAAATACGCCAAGATTTAATTCGACACGTTTTGTTGACTGAAAAGTAAAGGGTTTGTGATGTGTGATCAGACAATGCAAGTTCAGTGGTAACTGAACTGTTCGTGGCAGTAAAAGTGAGGTATCACTTTTACTGCCACGAACATTATGTGCAAAGTTATCTATGCAAGTCCCACTACTTAACCTAGTTGGTTCTCGTACTTCTAATTTAAATTATAATTCAACTAGCTGACTCGGCGAACTTCGTACCGCCCAAAAGTAATAATTTGCAATAAATTAAAATTGCGACTATAATTTGAGATTTAAACTATCCTATCTCTCAAGTTGGATCGAACTGCACATGGTGTGCGAATTTTATTATAATCGGTTCAGTGGTTTAGGAGTCCATTGAGGACAAACATTGTGACACGAGATTTATATATATTAAGATAACAAATTCTCAAATTCAATGGACCATTTATTTTTCTTCAAAATATTGATATTAAAGTCACCACAAATGATAATATTTTTATTATTATTGCACAATTTATTTAACAGGAAGTCAATTTTATTCATAAATAATTCAATGTCAGAGTTAGGAGGTCTATAGATACACACAACAGTCAGAGATTCGCGGGTGGTAAAATTATGGCACATGCTTCAATCACACCTTTGATACAGAATTTGGATACATCGATAATCTCGTAGTGAAAACCATAACCAGCCATAACACATGAACCTCCTCTACAAATATCTCTTGTGTAGCTTGTAGCTAACTTATAATTTTATACATTTAAATGACTCAAGTCCTCTTTGCGCATAAAATGCTCGGTAATACAAAGTATGTCCACACATTTATTTTTTAAGGTCAGTTCATGCATTGCTACTGCTAATAAATCTGTTTTGTTTAAAAGTCCACAAATATTTTGGTGCATTAAAGTTAAAGATAAAAATTAAGCCCTTATCTTGCGGATCAAATATGATATTTTTTTTACAGAAATGCTTGCTGTTATATTCAACAACCTCAGATACAAGTTTACTCAAACGCTTCATTATATTTAAAAAGCCAAAATTGTTCAATTTTCCATGAATATAAGAGAACATTTCAGGTGTATATTCTAAATCTAAACATGAATCTAACAAATAAGCAAAGCTATGATAACAATTACTAGAATACAAATAATGATTAAAAGTTTCAATTCTGGTATTAAACATTTTGACATCTCTATGAATTCTAAAAATTGGAGTAATAATTATAATATTTGTGTGATTAAGTATAGCAAGTTTTTCTTGTATTGAGGTAACAAGTTTACTGTAGTTTTTTGTTGTTTGGAAATCTACATCACCTATTAATATTACACAATAGTCATCCAAAGTAAAGTTTCGCAATTTCTGTTCAATACCTAATAATAATTGGGCACACTGAAGTTTCAACCGCAACATATTCAGTTCTTTCTTATGTGGATCAAAATTTTCCGTTGATAGATTAGGTAGGCTGGTACAACTACCATCAAGTATGCTATTAAGGGTGGAGTTTGCATAATTTATTTCAGTTTCTTCTTCATCTAAAATACTTGAGTGACTGCTATGTGTGCTTCTTAGACGACGAAAAGTAATATTTTCAAAAAAGTTCATTGTAACGCCATCTATGTCATGCCGTGAGTACTAAACCCGCAAGCAGCTGTTCCTTGACTGTCACTGTCCAAGGAGGCCAACAAATTATTGTAGACCTTTTTACCGAAAGGCATAAGAGGTATTATGTTTTGAACACACTTTATGTTTTGTATAAAATTAACGATTATAATCACTAAAAGTTCTATTTTACACTGCTTTGTTAAAACTAAGCACGTAATTATGTTGATAATTGTTAAGTTATTAAAGTTATAAATTAATAGTTTAAAAAAACAGTACATTTTTCGGGGAAATCTCTTTAACAAGCTATTCTAGTCTAGTGATATTTTAATGAAAATTATTATTATTCATGAAAAATCGTTTGAAAACAAGTTTCTGACGTGATAACGTCTTCTAAGTTGATGAATACCGACTGTACGTTCGAAAAAGTATGACTTCACGTTGTCATGAGTTAGTTCAATGTTCCGCGGTGTGTATGAGGTGACTCTCCCTCACCCTCGACCCTCTCCCGTCCCCTGGCCCCCTTACCCATCGAAGTGTACCTCAAGCCCGCGGAGCCTTACTTGGGCCCCCATAGAGCTACAAAAGATTGCATGAGCTCCAATGAACCGGAAAAAACAGCTACATAAAACAATATAAACATAATAATAATAAAAAAAAAACAATAAATTTTGTCTCAAATCGGTCCCAAACTCAGCATAGTGCTAATGTTGCCATTAGCCAAAACAGCGAACGACACGGCGTCCACCTCCAGGGAAATAGCAACCCTCAGCACATCAACGAATTTGAAGGAAGCAGAGAGTAAGTAGAACCCAAATCTAAATTTTGGTGTAAATTGGTGCTGTTTGGCATAATAGCCAGGTTTTCCGGATTTTTCTGTGCATTGACTTCAACGTTTATGTTGGTGAATAGTTGCTCTTTTAGCTTAATACCAATGCAGTATTGGAAAATAGCAGCAGTTAAAGCTATATATGTTTTCTTTCCATACCGTCCAGCATGGGAGTGAATAGGAGGTATTTCAATGTAAAGTTTTTACTATACATATAGGTCACCTGCATTGGAAAATATATATTAATAAAACCCAACATTTGGAAATTAGTTCACTGTTTAAACTCGTGTCATAATCTATTGCTATCGCCGTAATCGCCAGCAAAAACAGATATACGTTGATAACAATGTAGAGTGCAGGACTATCATTTGTTGTGAATTTATCTAGACCTGCTTTGCCGTATCTTATCAGTAACCTACCTGTCCTACAGTTTGAGTCTTTTCTGCGAGTAGGGTGCAGCCTCAACTATTGGTTGTCTTTTGTATCAATTATTTAAGCATAAAATAATTTTGACATTGGTATTATACGTAATTATTAAATAAGGACAGATGTGATTTGATATTAGTGTGGTGATCCTTGGATACAGTGCTTGATTAATAAACTTATCTACCGAAAAATTAAGCATGTGAGTAAAATTAGTTTTAAGGTTATGTAAGTAAAACGTACATTTAAAAGTATATAGAAGATTTTAAGTTATTAAGTTTAAAATACGAAAGAAAATTTTAAATGTTTTGTGCAGATATAACTGGTGCTTTATTAAAATATGCTATTTATAATCGTGATGACTCACCTTTGTCTCTATCCGATTGTATCTTGATTGGGGAATGTACAAAATAACTCTGTATTTATATGGAATTTGAGTAAATACTATTATTATATTTATTTTATATTATGAAGAAATCCAGCAAAAAAACTTAAGTTTTACACATTGTACTCTTTTCACAAGTCTTCCAAGGAACATCGATACCAAAGATAAAGTTTAATTATAAATTATATCTGACTCTTGGACAAAAAACGATAAAGATGAAAATTAGATAAAGTCTTGTATTAACCGAACTAATTTAAAATAAGATCTCACGCCTCAAGTGAGGCTATATTTACCGAGACGGATTTTAGGCGCTCACCCGTTATCTATATAATTGTTGATCAAAGAACAAATCGGTATTACTTACCTAAAGGTGTCTACACACCAAACCCGCCGGCGCGGCTTGATCCGGCGCCGTCGGGTTGTGCCACCGGACTTGTTTTGCGACAATCGTGCCGGTGGGTTGCGCCAGCATGCGCTTGCCAGTGGAACATGTCAGCACTTCCTGTCTGCTGTTTGCTCGCTCAGTTGCCCGCTGGATTTCATAACGTAGTGACGTTAATTAAGATTTTAATTAACTATTACGCTGGTGTAACAAAAATACACACAGTTACATATTTCTTAAACTCCGCAATAACTAACTACTACACGATATTGGCAGCAAATGCTGCGGCCTCGTGTCGCCGAAAAAGGTGGTTCCGGCTTACAATGGTAATGATGCCGCCGGTCTAACCCGCCGGCATTTCGTTTAGGTCAGGGGTTTTGATGTGCAGACGCCTTAAAACTAAAACACGCGCACGGTGCATGGTATCCATTGTATGCACCAATACACTGGGTTTTGCATCTAAGGTCTTGCATAGTAGATTCTGTCTCGTTCTAGGTAGACTCTATGTGGAAGACTAACATCATTTGTGTCTCGTCTATAAAGTAGATACTGAAAATGATATTCCCCTAATGTAAGTGGTTATTGATATTAAATAAGAGCAGCGGGCATATTCTGTAAAATTTCAAATGGGATCCGATACGGATCCACCCGATTCCTATATAGACTTGCGCGGAACCGCATCGGATCCCCGCGTGAAAAGCCTCACAGGTCCTCAGATGTTCATATTTTTATTTCTCTAAATTTCATAAGAAAGGTACTTAGAACCTTTGATTACAGAACAACAACTTTTGTTCTATAATATGAGCTTAGAACTATCTAAGTTTCAAAGAGATATGTGATTATTTACTTAGGTAAGTAACGTATTTCCCACTAGATGTGAGCACCCGTTTGGATAAGCTTATTTTACTCACAGAAGACCCCAGTGAAATAACACTACTTAGGTGCATCTTGGATCTGGGTGGTGTGGTGGGGTGATAAATTTTTGTTGGTGAGTAAGGTTTTCAGAGCTGATGAGTGAGATAAGAGAGTAGTGGATAAGGTTAACAGGTTCTATTTTGTAATGTGCATCTGGGATCTGGGTGGTGTGGTGGGGTGATATTTTTTTTTTGTTGAGTAAGGTTTTCAGAGCTGATGAGTGAGATAATGAGATAAGAGAGTAGTGGATAAGGTTAACAGGTTCTATTTTGTAATGTGCATCTGGGATCTGGGTGGTGTGGTGGGGTGATATATTTTTTTTGTTGAGTAAGGTTTTCAGAGCTGATGAGTGAGATAAGAGAGTAGTGGATAAGGTTAACAGGTTCTATTTTGTAATGTGCATCTGGGATCTGGGTGGTGTGGTGTGGTGATATATTTTTTTTGTTGAGTAAGGTTTTCAGAGCTGATGAGTGAGATAAGAGAGTAGTGGATAGGGTTAACAGGTTCTATTTTGTAATGCGGTAGCTGCTTATAACAGGCGGATGCAGTAAGCATGTTTCGTCTGGCACTATAACAAAAAACATTTTATTTAAACAATGTTCTTGGGCGCCGATAGAAGATCTGTCTTGTTGTGTCCACAGCATTTTTCACATGCAGCTCTCTCTCTCAGGTATCTCTTTTTGCAAATATTAAATAGTTTCAATGTTACATTATAATCTATATTACACCTAAGAATTTATTTAAGTAATTAATTACCAATTGTTTTCTAAGTATTTAGGTATATAATTCTTGTGAATCAGTGTTAAGACATTTTACTTACGTTGTTCCTCTAACATTATTGTTTCTGAAAAATTGTTTTTTTGGAATTCTTCCAAAAGTTGAAGGATATTAATTATTATCAATGTATTGAATCACCCGTCTCCATTATTATTCATAGCATAGGTACCCAATTCTCGCTATTGGCGATAAGATTATAGGTTATACCTAAGTACTTACACCTCAATTCCGAACAGATAGATACGATAGTATGATGCTGTCATATCGAATCAAAACTAGTGCAAAGAAACAATGAATACCTACTACAATTTAGGGTGTTGACAATACTGGAGGCACTGAAAAAATGGTTGCCTGTAAAGTCGGTTTTACGGGCGAAGATTTTACGTGACAACGTCTTTTTCTCGGTAGAATATTTATTGATATGAATATAATTAAATTGCACAATAGGAACAAGGAATTGAATGAAAAAAAGAATTGCACAAATTTTAACTATAGAAATATATTTTGTTTACTAAAACATTGTACATGTAAACTTAAACTTAACACGAGAGACTCATCGTAACGTTACCGAGCGTTACACTTTTTCATAAGTGACTCCCAGCCGCAACCTAATTTAAGACGTTGTCACGTCAATAATATCAAGGTTAAAAAAGTTTTAAGAGAATACCTATGTCCTGACATACATTTTTTTTATATATTTATTTATTACTAGCTGTACCCCCAGGTGTTACCGGTGGTTTATTAGAGATATTTTCCCGCAGTAAAACGTAGCCTATGTGTTAATCCAGGGTATCACTAACTCCATACCAATTTTTATTAAAATCGCTCCAGCCATTTAGATGTTAAGAAGTAACAAACATACACACTCACAAACTTTCGCCTTTATAATATTAGTGTGATTTTGTGGTAGTAGGTACTAGATCTTGGTTATCTTCTTTTTAGGGTTCCGTAGCCAAAAGGAAAAGCGGGACCCTTTTACTAAGATTCCACTGTTCATCTGTCAGTCTTTCTGTTACCATGTTGTATCTTATGAACAGTGATAACTATATAGATTTCTGTTGCCGCTATAACAACAAATACTAAAACAGAATCAAATTCATATTTAAATGGGGCTCTCATACAACAAACGTTATTTTATAACGTTGTATTTATTGTTGTATGTATTTATAACCGTTTTTTGCCCGATATTCAAAACGGCAACAGGTAGGCGCTTGAAATATTCACAGAATATTTAGCTGTTTATTCACTTTAAAAATAAATAGGTACCTAATTATTTTAAAATAAATATTAAAAGGGGGACCAATTAAACAAATTAGAAATGTTTTCTGAATGAAAGATGACTCCAAGTAAAGTATGTAGATACCTACGTTCTGTGCTGAATAAACTAAATAAACACAAGGTAGATAACGGATATGACAAGATTAGTTCCTTGAATACTTATATACCAACCACTCCTTAAATGTAGATAAAATAATTGGACTGTTAATAAAACACTTCTATGTACATACCGGACGGTTTCGTCATTGTTATCGATAATACGGAATATCTATCTATCATATATCACACTTTATAGCTGTTTTTCATAAGGTGGAATAATGCTGAAGTCTAGTATACTTATAATTATTTAAGTTATAATTAGATTGATAGTTAATACGTTTATTGTTATCTACAAACAACCTACATATAATTTTAAATGTAACACAATAAGAAGATGCATGGAATCAGCCATAAATATATATATTAATATAATATTAACTTCCAAACAGATTCCTCCAAAACATATATATATGTTTTGGAGGAATCTGTCAAATGCGTTGTTATTATTTCTTCCGTTACTGATGCCAAATCACCATGGCAAGTTACACGATTGAGCAGCAGGTCCAAATGATAAAACTTCAAAATAAGTGTTCGTTAGTGCAAACATTGCCCGCATTACGTCCATTTTACGGCAGCCGCGGTGGCCCTTCAAGGTCGGCTCTCCATCGTTTGGTGACCAAATTCGAGACGACTGGTTCGGTAAACAACCAACCAACACCCTCACGTCAAAGGAACGCCAGATCGGTCGAGAACATCGCCGCTGTCCGTGAGAATGTGCAGGAGACTCCGAGGCAGTCGATTTCTCGCCGTGCACAAGAACTCGGCCTTTCGCAGACGTCAACCTACACCCGTACATGATCAAACTGACCAAGGAGCTCAAAGTGAATGACCATAGACGACGCCGTTTGTTTGCTGACTGGGCTACAGAACGTCTGGAAGAGGACCCCGATTTTGGCCGAAAAATCATATTTAGCGACGAGGCGCATTTTTGGATGAATGGTTTTGTTAACAAGCAAAATTGCCGTATATAGGACGACCACAACCCACATGAGGTTCACCAGGTGGTAATGCATCCACAAAAAGTTACTGTTTGGTGCGGATTTTGGTCCGGCGGCGTCATTGGTCCATTACTGTTAACGGCGAGCGCTATAGATCAATGATTAACAATTTCTTTTGGCCTGAATTGAACAATATGGACGTGGACAACGTTTGGTTCCAACAAGATGGCGCTACGTGTCACACAGCGAGCGACACAATAGACATTCTGCATGAACGGTTCGAGGGTAGGGTTATCTCTCGCAGTAATGGCGTGAATTGGCCACCAAGATCGTGCGATTTGACCCCGCTAGACTTTTTCTTGTGGGGTTTTCTCAAGTCGCAGGTCTATGCTAATAATCCGCAATCAACTGATGCCCTGAAAGTCAACATAAAGCAGGCCATCGCTCAGATTCAGTCGGATCTATGCAGTAGAATAATTGAAAATTGGACCTCTCAGCTCCGTGCCACCGTTCGAAGCCGCGGTGGACATTCTAACGATCATATTTCATAAATAGGCCTTTAAAATAAAAAAATAATTTCTTTAATATCTCACATACAGCTTGTTTAATTTATTTTAACATCGACCCGTCCTTGTTGATAGACCCTTTATATATGCAGAAAGCAAAAGCACCAAAATGCAAAGGCTGCCTTATAATAGGCAAACATTTGCCTATTTTAAGGCAAAACACTGATTTTCAGCCACTTTGTGGCCATGTCTTTTTTAAGTAAGGAAATTGCAAAAACGACCTCCGTGGTCGAGTGGTTTATACGCCGGGTATCATGGTGTCGCCGACTCGAGAGGTCCCGGGTTCGAATCCCGGTGGGGGCAGATGTTTGTGTGATAAATACGAGCAATTTGTACTCCAGTCATGGATGTTTAATATGTATTGTTATATCAATATACTTATATATGTATTCTATCCGTAAGCCTTGGCTAATTGGTGTGAGTGTTGGACATATTTATTAACTTATTAAGCACAGTAAATAATCGTTACAATGCATTAGAGACAAGCACAGAAAACAGTCAAATACAGCAAGTGGTTTTTGCGAGATAAGATTTCATGATATCAAAAATATTATAAGTACGTACTTATTCTTTAAACAATAACACATGAAATATTTAATGTATTTATATATAAAAAAAAGTAATAATCAATGCGTGACAGGGGAGGTAGCTACGTTGCCGAACAAGTAACTATCTCCTCTGCCACACAAAACTTGGGGATGTTTAATGTTTAAACTCACCGAAAGACTACGAACGTTAACTGCACTGCTATACTGTAAGAACAAACTTGTCACTTCGGAATCCACGGTGTGATTTAAAATTTGATCACACTAGCTATGCCCGCGGTTTATTAGCCTATGTGTTAAACCAGGATGTCAGCTAACTCCATACCAAATTTTATTAAAATCACTCCAGCCGTTTAGACGTGAAGAAGTAACAAATATACACACTCACAAACTTTCGCCTTATAATATTAGTGTGATTTCAAATAAATTAAAAATCACACCGGCGAATTCCGCGGTGAAAAGGAGTTTGTTCTTGCAGAATAGCACAGCTCTTTATAATCTACTTAGAATAATAGATACTTTTTATCATGTCAGGAAGCCACAAAAAACTCAGCACATACTGCATTTTCCACCCTGTTTTGCTGCATGCAAATGCATAATAAATACATAATTAAAATAACAAAATTCACAAAAATACTTCATAATAAAGATAATGGAAGGTATCAAATGAGCTGTATTGTTCATGTTTCGGCGTAAAAACAATATATAACTATTTTTTTTTTCTTTATTTGGGAAACAAACAATGAATTAATACTTATACCTAGATCTAATAAACAAACATACATCAATAAAGTTTCCGCTATAATATAAAACATATAAAGGAGTTCAGGTAGTTAAAATTGAGAAGAAAAAAGACATTAATGTTTTTACCAATAAAAAAAAAAACAAGTTTTTGGTTACAATTAATAATTAAGAACTATCTACCTACCATATCGTGGATATATTTTTTTGATATGATACGATTGATGTGAACCTATTGTTATAATCAGTACAAGACCTTATCACGAAAGTATTAGCAGTATATTTGGTGCTAATTATAGGTAAACTAAACAAACTTTTTAAACGGGAGCCTGCCCGAGGGCATCTTAAACCAATGCTATTCAAAAGGAATGGAGAGTCAATGAGATTGTTCATAATTTTATAAAGAAAGACTTGATCTCTCTCAACACGACGATCCGTTAAGTAATCTGGTATTATATTTTTTTGTTTTAATTGTAGTAGTAGTTTATTGTAAGTAGCTTCTAATATAAAACAACTTTGTTTTGTTACAGATGAAAATGGATTGGTTACTAGTATTCTTTTTGATAGCCATTGCAAATGGTGCGCACGGGCAGGCCACAGCGCAATCCAGCGTTGCTCCTGAATTACGGGAATGCTATATGGACCCAAACCTGGTTAACCGGAACAACCTACCACCTACCACAATGCCAGTGCTTATCGACATCATACGCAAGATAGAAAACAATCCTAATATCAACTTGGATCTAAGAATGCTTTCTACACAACTTCTCCACACGTAAGTTTTGTCATTACAAGTATAAAATTTTGCTAATTTTGGTGGAATTATATTTTTCAAAATTAAGAAAAAGTGATGTAACTTAATCCGAAAACAACGTATTTTGTGAAAAAATATTGCGAAATATTGTTTTAAGTCTTATTATTTTGTATTATTTATGAAACCGAAATTGTCACGACACCAGAATTGTACTTCTTCCACCATAATTAGAAGTCAGAACACCAAAATTTTAACGTCCCACCAAAATTATAAATTGAAAAAATTGTCTAATTCAATTTTGAAAATAAAATATATTAATGAACACAAAACAATTGACAGCCTTAGATATTTAATACAAATTAACAAGAATTAAGAGGGTTTTTTTACTGGTAGTATTTTTTCTAGGAAAATTGTCTGTAGATTAATAAATCTAGCAGTTAAATAGTTAAAAATTAATAACCTAATAATGCCCGAAAAGTTATTTTTTTAGTATAAAATAAAAAAAATAGCTGTTTTCATTTGTCTTTAATTTTAAAGTATAATCAAAACAAAGATTAAATCAATGATTTTCATCTCTTTAAAAAAAATGATTTTACTATTTTTTGCTCCTTGTCATACTTATGCTTGAATTATACTAACAATTAATCAGCCTCTGAAACTTAATATTTTTATTAGTAATTTTATCACAAATAATGGAACTTTAAATTAATAAATAATCAGTCTTTTTGATTAAAATACAACGCGAGTAACTAAGAAATTTTAGACAATGCGATCCATTCGTAAATTTTGGTGTATAAAAACAATTTTTGGCTGTTAATCCACCACCAAAATTGAACACCAAAATTAGATTCAAGTCAAACTTGTTTCATTTAAAAAAAAAGTATTAGAATGATATTTAATAATAATAACTTATTGTCTTTTTTACATGCTAACAGATATTTAAATAATATTTTATGAAAACAAGACAATTCCCTATTGTCTCAGCCAATGTTGGTCAAGCCTGGACCTGAAACAACGCTGTTTTTCAGCCACTTTTTTTTTACATACATTAACAAATTTTACATAATTAATAATACAGAGAGTCTTGAATTATCCACTTTTTGATTATAATTAATGTTGGAACATATTTTGTGCATAAACGTATACTCCTGCTTGCCATAGATGTTACTCGCCCTACTCGCACCTTTCATACGTCACTAGCTTGGGCCTAGTCAAAACAAAAAAAGAGCGGCAAGTGGCTACAATATTATTATTTAATATTATTCACTCATTGAAAAGTACCTTAAACTCGAACTATTCAAAGGACATTGTTCAGCGTCCATACATAGTTAGCCTAAGAACCAACAATCATGAAATATTATTTTCTAGGTTCAAAATCGTAAGTAAATGACTGTAAAAACAAAGATTACTGACGCACACTTCTGAGAACTTAAATTGTTAGGAAAACTAAAATTTTTTTGAGGTTATGTTTAATATTCAATGAAACAGGTCAACCTATGAATTTAGTATAAACTCAGTATAAAGTGAATTAATATTACAACTAATTCATTTTATTCGGTGCGATTTTAAAGAATAACTATTAGGAGAAACTTGGTTAGGTAGGAATCATGAATAAAATAAAAACTGTAGTTTTGCTTCTTATTTATTGACTATTTTTCACATAATTGTATCATATTGTTTTTTATATTTATTTGTATATCACATGTAGGCATATTTTGTAAATATGCAGCGTGAATGTGTATCAGGTGTTCTTGAATAATTTGGCAGTATGATCCTCTCATATTAGATAGCCGAAATAGTTAAATTAAAGGAAAAACAATCGCAAATAAACACACACAACAGGTAATCCGAAACGAGAATGCAGTTTCCGGTTTATTATACTACTCTTTGGGTGCGGCCAGAGTGCACTCAGATTCAGAGTCAGATTCAGATTCTGAAAACAAGCGCGAGAAATAAACAGTGTAGTCTAAGCAGGTTGCCTGCTTTTTCTCGCGCTTTGTTTTCTGAGTCTGAATCTGAATCTAAATCAGGAGTGCAATCTGGCCGTACCCTTCGACTACACTGTTTATTTCTCGCGCTTGTTTTCGAAATCTGAATCTGAATCTGAATCTGAGTGCACTCTGGCCGCACCCTTTGGAATGCACGAATGTCACAGATTACTACGAATGCAAACTGCATGCACCAGAACCACAGAGTAACGAGTTTTATGCCGGCCCTTCACTTGACAATAGTTTGTCCTTGTCATGCTTAATAAGGAATGAAAAGGACAGACTGATGTCATGTTTTAAAATAGCAAATGCGAATAGCCAAGTGAAGTGCCAGCATTAGAAAGAAAGAGTGTTTTGTTTGCAGCGCTGCCATAGATTATACACATAAAATGGTATTTATTGTCTCAGATTATTTTTTAACTTTTTAATTTAGCTTACTTAACTGGAAGTGTCCGTCACAATCTAAATACTGATAATTATCGCAAAAAATATAGTAAGAATTATCATAAATGCCAAATTGGTGTTGGTTCTTAGGCCAATTTTAACATTGTCCTTTGATTAATATTTTTGAAGTTATACTTCTTTAGCCGCGTTATGAAAAAATTATGAGAGTGAAATTTTAAGATGCGCGCGCATCACTGTAACACAAAAGTAACATAATGAAGTTAGCCGCGGGCGCGTTATGAAAAAATTATGAGAGTGAAATTTTAAGATGCGCGCGCAACACTGTAACAGAAAAGTAACACCATGAAGTCGGCCGCTAAACCGCACATTACTCGTAAGTCTCGAAAAAAAGCTTCCAACAAAATAGTAATAGGATCTCTTAGTCGCACATGTTGGGACGCTCGTCGCCTCTGATCAATGTTTTCATATTTATAATATTTATTATTTAATAAAACTGTAAGAATGTGCGGGAGGGCGAAGGGGGAGTGTGAGAAGACTGACGTCAAATAAAGATAGGCGTAGGTAGAAAATACTTATATTGTGATTACTATTCAATATTTGTAGGAGAAATGGTATTACTGTATCCCACAAGGGTGGAAGTACATGTATACTACTATCAAGACACTAAGACGTCCCACGTGGTGGAAGCGTATAGCGTGCAAGACAATAGGCCCTACCTACCTACGAAGCGATGACTTGGTCAATTTCCCAAGAACACCTTATACAAGTGGTGTCAGTATAGTATAGCACGATTCACATGCGTACAGCGCCATCTAGTAGCGGTCGGCGTGATGATATTTGATCCTATGATGTGCCATACAATCGGTGTCGGTATAGGATAGCGCGATTCACATGCGTACAGTGCCATCTAGTAACGGGCGGCGTGATGATATTTAATACTATGGTGTTACAAAACTTATTTACTTAGATTAAATGAGAAAAACCATCAGTATATTGTTTTAAACTTTCATGATCACTAACCATCATCAATCATCAAATCCAACCATCAGATTTTTTAATAAAAACTTACTAAGATTAAGTGAGGAAAAACAATCAATTTTTATACATATATGAAGTATGTGTTTTGTAATTATTAATTATTTGCATGCAATTAAAAAATATTTTTAATGATGCTAAAGAAGTATAACTTCTCACGCGCGTACATAAGTTACACGCATCCATTTTTTTTTAGTCCTGAGAACATTAACACCAAAGTTGTTAATAATTTGTCAGATTGATGATACTTGTTGTAAACTTATACACTTACGGAGACATCTATCGGCCCACTTAAGGTTCAACGGTCTGCAGCAAAAATATATGTTAGGGTGAGCCATAACAATATATTTTTGAAAACACACGAAACAGCTGGTTAATTAGCTTCAAAACTGCATTAGAAACTTTTTGCCAAATATAACTTTTTTTTAATCGTAAATTACCGTCAAACCAAAACTTAAAATGCTAGGTGGGCCGATAGATGTGTCTGGAAGTATATTTTTGGCAGAAAATCTCAGCAGGCTAGAACGCATTAGACACTGTCACTTGGCAGAGCATAACTGAGAGGTTCTATGAATCGTAAAAAGTGATTCTTAATTACTTGTAAAAACATGTAAGCAGGCGTTATAGTATACCAGTGCTCCATGTATATAGTATACCCACCAAAATTATCAATTATTCGTGGACGAACTTTTCTGGCATGCTCTAAATGTAAATTACGCTAGAAAGCGTCGAAGCTAGTTAAACCCAAAGAAAGTTTGCAGAGGCGTCATTGAGGTGTGGCTGGCTTTATATAAATGTTGTTTACTTTATATTTTTGTTGTATGTTTTTCATTGTTTCTCGTTAACCCCGTGCGGTGCGGTTGTTAAAAGTGCAGTATACCGAAGTACTTATCATAAATTGTTATTCTGTTTCTTTCTAGCTTTCGACAAGATGGCATTGAGTTTCACCAACGTGGCACAAATGCTCCTTCCTCATCGATAGTGTTGCCATTTGCTCCTACATTCCATTCTTTCCACCGGCACCGACTGCTTCTGAGAATTGTACCCAGCAATCAACAAGTGCTTCCAAATAATACACTTCCATCCAGTTTAAAGGTACTGCAGTTACTCTAGTCCTATTAGATATTTATGTTATATTCCGTATGAATTATGTCAAAAAAACAATTTCACATATAATCAAATATTTGTTTTAGTGTGCACTCCATAATATGATTTCTACCACTGTCGATGCTCGTGTGAGGGGCGACGAGAATACATGCGGAAGTTTAGCTCAATACCGTGCGTTGAGGACTGTTCGGTCACCACGATCACGGCGTTCTATTGACGATGATGTAGAGATCATAGATTTGAAACAACTGTAAGTTTCTTAAGCATTTGTACAAACATAAAAAACTTGGATACAATCCTAAAACTTTCCTTAAATTAACATTGTCGTTTTTAGTGGCGAACATAGAAACGGCCATATGATGCAAAATGATCCTGACAGTGACGTCGAATATGCAGGATCGGTATCTGATCGGCAACTGTTAGGAGCCAGTGCTTGTCCAATTTTGACCGGAGCAGTAAATACTCATTGGGGAGCAGTCTCCGCGGGAAATCTCATTGCTGGAATAGCAGCTGGCACAGAAACGCAACAAGTGCCCATTCTAGAACTCACCAAAGGATCTGTGCTGAATTATCAAAATGTCCAATCCACTATAACTACTGTTTTTCCTGCCACATTGTCAGGTAAAATTGTTTTCTACACCGTGAATTTTGAGTTACTTGAGAAAATTTACTACATTTGATTAAAATTTACTTAAAATTACGGTGTATAGGTATATACCTATACTTACTCAGAATAATTTAGTTACAGTGAACTAGAAATCCGAATAGAGTGTATATCATTTTAACTCGAATTAGAATATTATAATTCATAATATCCTGTTATCTTAAGTTCAATCTTACAATACTTTTGACTTTCAGGTGACTTAGCTGAAGCAGTACTTGTTCAGGGTACGGCCGGAAGAACATCAATAACTGTTGGTAACGCTGGTAACTGGAACAGCTCGGCAGCTACCAGATTTTACATGTTGAGTGGACGAACTAATGTAGAAATGACGGATCCTGAAATTCGTGGAGCTCTGGATGGATTTTTCCTGGGTACCTCATTGACAGAAACTCTAAGGACATTTAGTTCATTGAAGTTGTCACAGTTACTTGATATGTACTATAATCCAATGGTAGTGTACGCCTTCTTAAATACATCTCAATTAAGCTTGTATTCATTTGTAACGATTTTTCTAACTTAACTCATTTTCTTCATTGATTATATAATAACTTTTAAGGGCCAATATCATCAGAATATGCATTTATTGTAAGATTTGGAGGTGCGATTTTTTTTTCACTTTTTAAAACAAAAAGCTAAAATACTACAAAATGGAACATATAATTGAACATATATAACAAAGTTTTGCACTGCCACCAAAACTGAAATTTCTCCACCAAAGCTTAAAGCATAACCACCGAAACTGCATTTAATACACCAAATCTTAAAATGATCATTATTTATATGAAAAAACATATAAAAATGTCGTTAAATTATTTAGTGAAGACGAAATTTTAATATTATTCCATATGAAGCCGGAGCAGTATACTAAGCTTTTGAGGACTAATAAAGTCTTTGATTGTAATAGGGACTTGGCTGTGACTTTGATTCGAGATATGATATACAGCATTTTTAACTTGTAGGTTTTGACGTAACTATCATACCTTTATACGAAAACGCCATCATGTTAGTTACTTTCTGGGCCCCTGATGCAAAACTTATCTAGGTCTAGTGAGAAGTAAAGCAGAATTCACTGCCGTTTTAGAAGGGTCCTTCAAACTTCTGACCTTGATGAACTCTGCATAAACATCTGTGGCAAAAATCTTAAAATGAATATGGGCAAGACAAATCTAATATCAATCTCCGCTTTGTCTCCATTCATTTGAAAGAAAAAGTTGTAAACGATTATCTTAACCTGGACCAGACAGTCTAGACCGATTTTCAGAAAGAGGTAGATCGAAGAATTTCGCTAGAACGAGTGACATTGACATAACGTATACATCGTAATGTCAATGTCACTCGTCTAGTCTAGTTCAAAATACTGCAGCGCCTTTAGGCAAAAGTCTTTAATCTATCTTTGTTGTCAATATTATTATATTACTTAATCAATATTTGAAAACCAATTCAGACCGCTGTTGGCTCTTACTTCGATATTTAAAAGGATCTGGGGTACCGAATAGCTTTTCGAGCACTGGAGTAAGGGGCTTGTATTCGCATTGCCTAAAGCCTCGATGACACGGGTCGAGATAACAAGCTGCAATCCAGCGAGTTCCAAAAAAAATTTTACCTTATCTTCAATTAACCTTATCCATTAAAAACATTTATGGCATTCCGCTGTGGCGACATCGTTTATTTTAACTCTTTATTGAAAATAAAAAGGTTATTGCCTATTCCAATCAGAAACAGTTGTATTTGTTTTTTAGTAAAATAAATATTAAGATTTATAAAAATCTGTTCATTTAGCCAACTTATAACTTAGTTATAGCATGCTAGAAAAAATCTTATGACAAAATATGCACTTTACACTGGTATTCTTCACCTTGGACATGCAAGAAATGCCCTTGGGATATTCATCCTTACCTTACTTTTATAATTTGTTCTTTCTGTATAATAGAATCGGTAACATCTGTTTTTTCAGAATAACAAACGCATCGTATTATTTGACCGTTTTGTTTTACAGAATGGAGTATTCAATAGTAATTTAAGAGCTTGTAATCGGCGTGAACTCAGTCAGCAGTTAATTGTGGTATCTAATTTAATTGGTGAAACGAGAGCTTTTACTGCTGCTCTAGACACGGTAATGCCCCTGGCAGGAACCTTGACGGGCGGTATTGAAGGACTTGTAGACAGCGCTGTGTCAAACTTGCAAACATATATAAGTAAGCTAGATCTGAAAAGCAAAAAATTTTGTAAAAGTTATTTCTAATGTGATTTTGTTTTAACTTTTACTTGTTTCTTTTATAGATAGTAACTTGAATGACTTAAATTGCGCCATATCTGAAACCGCTAGAGTGGTTACCAGACTGAGAACTAACATATACGTAGTTATTGACGCATCTTGGCAATATCAAACTATATATCCTGCCATTTCACACATTGTCGAGTCTTTGGAAGTTGGACATTTTGGTTCAAGTATAACCATCTTAAGTGCGTTTGATGGAAGTGTTCTTATAAATCAGACTTTCTCTCCAGCGGACTTCCACGTCGAATACACTCAGCAAAGGCACCTGACTTGTAAGTAAAATAAATAAAAAATGGAATCATAGTGTAAATTTTATGAGGTCCTAATTTTGGAATTTATTAACGTTTCAGTCCCAACTGGTGTAAATTTGCAAACCACTTTCGCAAATGTACGTGCAATGATGCAGGATCAATTAAGAAATGAAACCACCTTAAACTATGTGGGTGGCAATGCAACAGTTCTTTTATTTTTACTGAATGCTGGTAACATTGAAAATAACGCCAATGTTGCTCAAGAGGCTCGTTTAACGGCAGATTATGTTCCAGGTACTCTTTAAAACTACTCTTGACTGTATTGTATATATCATATTATGATACTTTTTTATGGCATTATGGTAATGATGTGTGTGTGCCGGCCTAGAATAGCAATACTCCCTCTCGTCCCATGGGTGTCGTAGAAGGCGACTACGGGAATACAGCCAGCAGAAGACGGGCATCAGCGTTTTTTCCTTAAATTCTATGGCCATGCCGCGATCGCCAACCAATCTGCCAAGCGTGACGATTACGGCAAAACCCCCCCAAATGACTAACACAAATAATAATCGACCCCTAGTTCCTGGCAGCCCTGCATGTCCAAGCCACGGTAGCAGCTTTGGTAACAGCAGGGAAGGGGTGCAAAGAATCCCCGGGTAAGATTCGGCTAACATTAAAGACGACTGTACCTAGCAACCTACAATACGCTCACACTGAGAACTGACGCGAAGTTAACGGAGTTGGAATAAGCTGTTAGTAACTTACGCTAAGATGTTATCGGTCTATCTGAAGTCCGAAGGGAGAAAGAGGACACGATGATCCTCTATTCTGGTAACTTACTATATTACCGGGAGGGCGACCAGCAGTCCCTAGGCGGTGTCGGGTTTATCGTCCAGAAGTCCATCGTCAACAACGTGATAATCATCGGAAGTGGGTCGACCAGATAAGCATACTAATAGTCAGAGTATCGAAAAGATATTCGTTGAATGTCATGCAGGTCTATGCTCCGACCTCGACAGTTGCAGATGTAAAAAAAAGGTCAACTGAACTGTCAGTTCCTCTGCACATATTTTGGATTTTAAAATTATTATTATGACCCATAATTGGTAAAAAATACCATATTTTAGCAGCCCAAATTTTTCTTTATGACCCCGCATGTGGGCAAGCTGTGTGCTGATGTATTTGCCTGGAATGTGATAACATTGTGGCGGCGACATCTATATGCCTCACAGATATACAACGGATGTAGGAAAACATTACTCACCATCCTCAAGAGATGGCGTTACCTGCACTGCGATCAATATTAGTATGGAAGCCTACATCGCGCAAATGAAATTCGGAGGCTAACTCTACATATATACGATGCCCGACCAACATCAGTAGGGCCGCGGCCCCCGAGTTAACATCACCCAGCTCGGAGGAAGATCTTCCCCTTTGGCCTTCCTACAACATAAAGTCTGCTGGTTTTTGCATATTACGAAGTGGAGACTATGTATGAGGAGATCTCTTAAGCCATGCATAGCCACAAAAGCCACTACACAGTTGTGTTGGGGGACTTCAACTCTCGGTTGGGGAAGGGTTGCGATGATGAGTTGAGAGTGGGGCAATTTGGAGTTGGACAAAGGAACGCCAGAAGTCGGATGTTGGTTAACTTCATGGAGAAGGAGAACCTCTTTATGATGAGCTCCTTCTTCAGGAAACCCCAAAATCGGAAATGGAAAAACTTTAAAAATGAGATTGGCCTTATCAAAAGCTCATATTCAATGAGGTCTCTATGATCAATGCCGTCAAAACGGGAAGCGACCACCGTTTGGTAAGAGGCACATTGAATATCAACAATAAGCTGGAAAGATCTGGACTAATAAGGCCTACGCTCCGACCATTCCGACCGACCAGCACAATTTCAAAACCCCGAGAGCTTTCAACTCGAACCTCTTGGATCGAACTTGGATGAAGTCTTTGACGAGCGACCTTCGCCAATTTTATACTAATCGTATTAAAGACGCTATAGAGCGGAATAAGGGCTCACTGACGAAGCCAAAAACTGAAGACGTCTGAAATCTTGAGGAAGATTGAGTGGTTTTATCAGCAGCTATATTCCACACAAGCACCTGTTGAAAGCAAGGCTAAGCCGATACTTAAAGACCTCCAGAAGCTTGTCAATTGCGTCATCTTCGAAAGCCAAACACCGAAACACTATATCAGTCGGATTACAGAATCAGAGCTCTAGTCCGATCCAACTGCATCGAGGCGTGACACAGGGAGATGTTGTATCTCCGAAACTTTTTTCTGCTGCGTTGGAGGATATTTTCAAGCTTCTGGATTGGAAAGGACGTGGCATCAACATCAATGGCGAGTACCTAACACATCTTCGCTTTGCCGATGATGTAGTACTTATGGCTGAGACCTTGGAAGACCTAAACACAATGCTTGAAGATCTCAGCAGTGTTTCCCAAAGAGTGGGTCTAAAGATGAACATGAATAAGACGAACATTATGTCGAATGACACTGTTGTACCCATTTCAGTTAAAATTGGGAATACTCCATTCGTAGTTGTCGACCATTACGTTTACCTGGGACAGATAGTCCAGTTAGGTAAGTCCAACTTTGAGGCAGAGGTTTCTCGTCGTATTAAACTCGGATGGGCAGTCCGAGTTTAATACGACGAGTCCGACCTCAGTGTCTCAATACAACAGTCTTTGAACAGTGTGTGTTGCCAGTAATAACTTACGGAAGCGAAACGGGGTCACTTAGTATGGGTCTCATAAGAAGGCTCAAGGTCGCTCAGCGGGCAATGGAGAGAGCGATGCTTGGTATCTCCCTAAGTGATAGAATCTGAAATGAGGAAATCCGCAGGAAAACTAAAGTGACCGACATCGCTCGAATGATTGCTCAGCTGAAGTGGTAGTGGACGGGACACATAGCGAGGAGAACCGATGGCCGTTGGGGCATAAAGGTTCTTGAAAGGTGACCACGCACTGGACGACGCTCGTTGGGAAGACCCCCCATCAGATGAACCGATGGTCTGGTGAAGATCGCGGGAACCCGATGGATGCGCGTAGCACAGGACCGATCGATGTGGAGATCCTTGGGGGAGGCCTATGCTCAGCAGTGGGCTTCGTACGGCTGAGATGACTTTGCAACTTTATGAACTAAGACGACTTATACGATAAAAATCTAGCTTATAGTATATATTTGTGACATTAAATAGTTTCAAGATTTAAGCTAATATTTAAGTGTATATTATAAAAACAATTAAATGTTATGAATATTTCTTACTATTGAATATTTCTGTAAAGCCCTACAGGGAAGAAGTTTTAATTTGTATTGTAGTAGACATTAGTCTTACTTTCAACAGTTCATTACAGAGTATATAATATTCTGTAACTTTGTAATGAACTGTCAAGAAGTTGTTATTACACATTCACTTTTGGTCCACCGAAACACGATATGATAAAGAGATGTATCGACAGTGACTGTCAAACTACAATGGAGTTTGACTACGTTTGACAGTGGTGTCGATAAAAAAAATTGTCATAGCATAAGTAGCTCTATAAGATATATAACACGTTTTTATCACGTCTATCATCAATTTTGGCAATTATGGGTGTTAAAAAAACGTGAAATATATCGCGGTGCTCATACTAAGGTGATTGATTTCAGATCTAAGGGTGTTATTTGCTACATCTGCAGCTCAAACAGAGAATCTTTCTAATTTGGTTCGTGAACCTTTGACTGATATAACAACAGTTTCATTAGCGGCGGGAGGCACTAATGTGGGTACAGCACTAGGAGCAACGCTTGTTGGGATTCAAAATGGTAGTCAAAGTCAAAATATCTTCATTCAAATTGGAATTGACCAAAAATTTGTTACTATTAATTACAATATTTATTTTATTTAATTAATAGGTAGGTATCTTAATTTTTCTGTTACACTCAAGTTTTTTTAAATGTTTTAGTCGGGAGAAGAATTATAAATCCTCTTTGCGGTTCTGCTTTTTCCGCGGGATCTTCGGGTACCAGGCAGTTGACCCAATATGTAGATCCTGGCTATGTGAATTACTACAGAATAAGTCCCAATTATTTCTTCGGTAACAACGATAATACAAGAGTACGCGTTTCTCGTACTGGAGGTGGAGAAGGAAACTTGGTCATCTGTCATTCACGTTCGGTTTCAGCACCAAGGTAACATTTTACTATGACATGGCATAATAGCTACCTATTTTATTTTTATCTTTTAACGGAGTTGACGGCGATGCTAGTTAGTTTGATACTATTATAAATAGCTGTTCTTTAGCAATGGTTTGTCATGTCTTTCATACCAGTATTTTTTTTTTCAATGTGTAACTTAAAATAAAACGGAACATTTATAGGATCACTTTGTTGTTGTCTATCCGACTGTCTGTCTGTCCGCTCTATAAAATCAACGGCAGCCATCTGATGTTTGGCAGATCCATACCAAATGAGAGCAGTACTTCTAACAGACTCGGACTTGGGGGCCTACCGCCTATCGAGATTATTTTGGCTATTGCTATAGCTTATGATTTCATTTTGTTATTTCTAACCGCGCCGTAGGATTTCAAATGCCTCGCGCTCTTTATGCATTGGTAATAACAATATTAAAGAGAATAAGCGAGGAAACCAAAGCAACCCCGATAGGCGACAGGCCCAAGCTTAGCTTGCTAGAGGGTTAGAAGCTGTCTCAGATTAAAGTACTTACCGTCTCACCTTCGAGATAAAACTCAGCTTCTTAACTGTGGCCCTCAGCAGTGAGGATACATAAGCCGATTTAATACGATCGCTACGCTTCTGTTTTTCTTAATACTACCTAGATTTAACATTCTTTCCAGACAAAACCAAACATTAGCCAGTTTAGAAACTAATGCAGTTACATGTCAGAATTTGGGCGCGACCGGCAATGTTGAGATCAATCTCGCAGGCGCTTGTGGCGGTTTCAGCACGATCTTATCCTGTCCACCATTGTTCTTCTCTGTTGAAGCTACCGCGCTAACAACTAATCCGCCTGCAACTTGTACAGGTATACTTCTACATTCTTTAATCATGGAGCAATATATTGATCAATGCTTTAAAGAAAACTGAAAAGTAGTTTTTTTTAATTAACTGAGAGATTGGAACGTAGCATTGTTTTATTTTTTTTCTGATGTTATTCACCACAGAGTAATATAATTATTTAACACAAATTTATTATTGATTGAATATTATGTTCATTACGAATAATATTTTTATATTAATGCGTTTTAGTTCGCAATGTGTTTATAACTAAACAACTTTTTGGCTTCTAAACTGGACTTACATTTGCCTGTTGGTTTAATATATAGCTATAAAATGTAAAATAAAATACGAAGTAGGCGTATACCAACATTCTGTAACAATATTTATTGATTTACAGATGCTGTCCAATGTAGATTCCCGTATGATGTAGCCTATCAGATCCAAGTTGAGGACCTACAATGTTTCAGTAGCGGCACCATCGCAGCAGCCAGCATAATGATCCTTGTGCTCGGCATCGTCACCAACATTTTTAGGAATTTCTAGTAGAATATTCTTTTAAGTGTGTATTATTTTTATTACATAGTTTTACAAAAGCCCCTGTATGTCGATAGAAATTTATTTATTACTTTGTAGAATGAACAATTATTTACTTAATGCCCAACGATTTTAAAAGAAAAGTGCATTTGTTAATTAGATCGTACTGTTCTTAGATTAATGTAGACTTAATTCTAGAATTAAATGTACCTAATCTTTACATAGCGTAATATTACAAAAACAAAATAGGAAAAGATTACTTAACCATACATATTTATAACAGACGTGTATTGAATATTTTTAAGGCAATTAACGTAACGTTGAGCCAAATGTCTATTGATTTTATTATCTATTTATAAAAGTTTTTTTAATATGTCAAAAATAAAACAGGGTAACATTTAATGCTAAACATATGACTTAATCTAAGTATTGCAGAGTAGGTCCATAAGCTTAAAATTTACATAGGTTAAAAGAAAAGATTTGCATTTTTTATCAATAAATATTGAAAAAAAAATGTGTTATGTTTCTGGTTTCCTTAACAGCAACACATAAGAGCAACACGACCGACACGGACAGCAGGTTTCAAAACAACGTTTTTTGTCTTTGGCCTATCATGTTTGTTCCCTTTATTTTAATTATGTACTTAAATAGTTTTCTATACAATATTTCAATGAGATAAGGCGAAAGAAATAAAATTGCTGCAGGGAAAGTATGAGTGAATTTCTCAAACGTAATTTTGAGTCATCTTAACTGAACATCAATCTTAAAGATACAATTATGTTATTTTTTTAAGGAGAATGCTCTTAAGTACCTTAATGAAAGCCTATAGGTTAATCCCATATATATAAGAATAAATTAAAAAAAAAAACAAATTTTGAGGTAAGCTGAAAAATATAAAAATAAATAAAAATAGTGCGACCAGTACCCCTAGCACGAACCAATTTCGAATTCGTATCGTTTGCGAGTCCGAAATGTCATTGTCAAATGTGTACTGATTTTTAGTTCTTGTTAGGTACTTTGTGCCGCTGCTGTTCAAGTTTCCATACAAAATTTGACATTGACATTTCGGTTGGTAAACTATTCGAATTCGATAATGGTTCATACTAGGGCTACAGTTCTGAATATTAAAATTACTATACCCACGTAAAAATATTAGTTTAAATCGGTTACAAAATAAATTAAAACGGGGCATATTTGTAAGTAACATACCTATTATGGAATAATTATCCATTTAAAGTACTTTTATTCCAAAAGTAGATTTATTTGAATCAATTTATAACAATTACAATTGATTAGGTTTCATAATTGCAAAATTAGCTAGTTAACGTGGCGACATTTAAAAAAAAAAGAAAAAAAAAAGTTTTTTTGCATAAATATAAGCGTAGCAGTTCTTCGCAGCCCCGTTTCAAGACATTTTGGAATTCCTGATCCGCGTTGCTCCTTTATACAAGACACCATTATTTGTATGCTTCTTGCATGTAGGTATACATGTAGCACAATACATACAAGGTGTATTGTGTATGTAGGTTGTCTTTGATTGTAGGGCCATTGGCAACGGGTTCCAATATTCCTGGATATTTTCCTTTCAAGCGAGCAGATATAATAAATTCTGACTTGGTAGCAGCACAATAAAACTGTTGGTACTTTAAGAGTAGGTTCCATGTCAGTCAGACATAATATTAGGTACCAGACATAATATTAAATCACATCTAAACGAGTTAGTACAAATAACACGTAACAATATCAAAGAAAATAGTTTTATCTTTGTTTACATAACTATTTGTATGTAATTGAATGGTAGGTGATAAATAGACTATAAACCAAAAGACTACAGAAAATCCTATATCGGCACAAAAATTCTCAGTATTGGCATCTATTCGTCTAATTATTGGCATTAGTTGATAGGAATCTACCTAGATAACTATCAACATTTTTCTGGGTATGAGAAGGTAAGTAGGTATTTCTTGTTTTTATCATGATAATGTGGCTTCAAATTTTTGGTTTTTTCTAATAAGACTCTGGAACGATGCTAGGAACAACTAGAACAACTTGGAAAAACCAACAAAATATTGAATTTCCATAAGTACCATAAAACATATTTTTTTGTCTAGAAGTTAAAAATTTTTGTTTTTTCGAATAACAATGTAGAACAAACATAGAACAATCCAGAACAACCTGGATAATCATAAATTCAAAAAGTGGGGGGCTAACTTCCTTGAGGTAAAAGCGAGCCTTTCTCAATCCTAGGTACTGCACCTAACTGGACTATTTTAAGAGATACGTATGAAAATCACTATAAATTACCAGAGGATGTTGATGTTTCGTCATCCTAGCCGGAGATATTCCTCTTTTCTAGGCACGTCAAACATAAAGTACTAATAGAGCTTACTGTGACGTGGGAAACTAACATTCCAACAGATCTCGCAACAAAATTTAAAAAATATTACTATCTAACCAAGGAACTAACCAAAAATGGCTATCTAGTTTATTTATATGCGGTAAAAGTAGGAGCGAGAGGCATACCAGTTAAATCTCTCTATAACCTTCTAAAAGACCTCGGCCGGGTTATTAGATATCATAAATATATATTATTTTTAATTTATTTATAAGCTCCAATATTTATTATTTAATTGGTTCTGTTCTGGGGCAACTGCCACCCCCCGCGCCCGTACCTACGCCCTTGTCTCTGGAAACGAACAGTTGTAAACTTGACTCCGGTAACGGGTGGTGCAGTGGTAAAATGGCGCTGTGGGTTTTAACTGGAACAATTCCTCGGAGCATTCACCATGAACAGAATACGCTTAGGAAACCAAAGTCCTTGCGAAGTTCCAAAGACGTTCCAAAGAATTTCAAGATATTTCGCTAGCTTGGGATCATCGACAATCCCAATCGCGCGTCTTTGCATAGAATCGAGGGGATCCAATTGGTATTTGGGAGCTCCAGTGGGACTAATTTGCACTTTGTAAAGCAGAAACCTTTGCTTAGACGTGAAGTACTGCTTGGACCGATTAATAACTCAAAAGTTTGAGTTTAGAGGCCAGTTTGGCCTTGCTCTCTTAATAGTTTCTATATTGGACGTCACACGAGATATCAACACCTAGTATCCCAACACTATTGGAATTATTCAGCAGGACTCCTTGGAATTGTAGTGTGACATCAAATGAGTCCTTCTTTGCAGTGAATGAGCAAACTTGTATCTTGATAGGGTTGAATGTCACAATCTTCTGAATTCCCCATTCGGAGACTCGCTCAAGAGAACCTTCCGCTTCGGATACAAGCTTAGTTCACCTTTCCGAAACTCCAGCTCTAGGGATGTTTGGCTGGCCGAGAACTAACAGTATGTCATTGATATGCAGGATGAACAACGTTAGGGAGACCATCGAACCTAGTGGAACATTAGCATTTATAGTCAGGGTTTCGGAGCAACAGTCATCGATAACGACTTTAATGCTCCTGCTTTCCAAGAAACTGAATATACACTTGCAATACCCCTCAGGTAGCCCGTAAGATAGTAACTTCGATAAAAGTGCTCTATGCCAGACCCTGTCAAACGCCTTGGCGATATCCAGGCTCACTGCGAGGACCTCACCCTTGCTCTCTACGGCTTCAGTCCAACGGTGAGTAAGATAAACAAGATCATCACCGAACTACCATGACGGAAACCGTTCTGTCAGTCGCTAATTAGATGATGCTCCTCAAAGTACCTCGAAAGGAGAGTGTTAACATCCGCTCTATCTGTAATTATTGAATACTCTATTCCAACGAAAAACTAAATTTCGATCGAGAATTTGTTCGTCCGAAAATAATTTGACAATTAAATTTCCCAAGACTACTCTAATTCACAAAACTTTCGAACTAAAAGTTGAATTTGACATATTTGAAATTTTAACCCCAAATTGACGAAATGAAAAGTGTTACCTTTTCATGTTCGTTGACATACAATCGATTGTATCAACTCAAGAAATTTGTCAGCTAACACTGTCGAAGAAGGTTCTTCCAATGTCATCAAAATTTTTGTCGTAAAGTAATATTGTTTCCAAGTAAAAAACGTAATCTAAAAAGTGGAGGTAAAAAGAACTTACAAACATGACTCATTCCATTCGTTCACAAAAATTGTTTGTGATTCCGAACTTTGAGTGTATTCCGAAATATACATCAGTATACTGGCCAGTGGTAATGACGTCACGAATCCGACGCCATATTGTACTGGTATGCTACCATATTTTTCCCGGGAAAACGAATAAGACGTATGACCGAGCGTGCGTGAGATGCTTTCGAATTTTATTTGTTTTTTACTTGTTACTTGTTGTAGGCCCCCGTTTCCGCACGTAGACTCCGTACTTGGTCCATTGTGCGTGCAGGGTATGTTGGGCTAGCTAGCTCAGCCAGCCCAGCTCCTTCCAGAAGCGCAGTAGCCTCCTGGGGCTCTCACAGGCTTCTAGGAGCGTCCTCGGCTTCCTGAGGATTGATGCTCGGTGTTCTGCGACGCTTGTGCATTCCAGGATCACATGAGCGGCCGTTTCATCTGCTTCCAGACATCCTCTGCATAGAGAGCTATCTGTAACGCTTATGGTTAGTAAATGCTGGTTAAGTAGGTAGTGCCCTGTTATGGTGCCTAGCATCACTCGAAGATCATTTCGGTTGAGATTTAGTAATTTTCTAATTAGTCTGGGGTTGAGGCTGGGAAAAATATCCTTAGATTGCCAGCAGCCCTCGGTATTCGCCCAACGGGTGCTATGGTTCTGGTGGTTCGTTGCCGCACCCATGTACGAAACTAATTGAAAGGTAATGGCAGAAGTGGCTCAGGGCCTTCCACTCTCTGTGATGATCCTCTTCTAAATGCATTTCCCATCGTCAACAAAAAAAAAAAAGGTAGTTCGTCGGCTGCGTCATTACCCACAGAACCGCTATGTCCCTTGATCCATTGGAGGATAACCTTGTTATCCGTTGCTATGTACTCCAATGCCAGGTGACATTCGTATACTAGCTCAGAAGTTTTGCTGTTACAATCTAGGGCTCTTAGGACAGCCATACTATCAGATAATATACGTATCTTGTAGTTTTTGACTTTCCTATTAATAACAGTAGTAATGGCTATACATTCGCATTGGAATGTTGAGCTGTGATTACCCAGTGCTGTTGATATATGGATATCAAGGTCCAGTGAGAAGACTCCTGCGCCTGATCCGAATCCTGGTATTTTGGATCCATCAGTGTAAATGCGTAGTTCGTCTGTGCCCGACCAGTCCTTGTTGGTTAATAGTAGTTCTACTTGATATCCTCTATCAAATGTAGTATGAGTAGTCGGGATTTTATCACAGCCGGCTGTTACCATAGGTTGGTATTGGTATTGGTATAGGTAGCCCTTTCCAGAATTTTGGAGTGAGGTCCCTGGTTTTCCGTCCACAAGCCCAGATGATACATTCTTAGCGCTGCCATAGTTGCTTCCTGTTGTATAAACAGGTCGAGGGGCGGGAGGTCAAGCGCTATTTCTAGGGCATTTGTGGGTGTGGATTTCATGCAGCCTGTTATAGCAGAGCATGATAGTCTTTGAAAACGCTGCAGTTTATTAATTGCGGTGTTAAGTTCGGTTCTAGGCCACCAAACTATTGCACCGCAGGTGATGAGTGGTTTGATTATGGTTGTGTATAGCCATTTTGTGATTTTTGGTGCAAGACCCCAGGTTTTACCAAGTGATCTTTTGCATTGCCAAAACGTGATACAGGCTTTGTTTATCTTTTGGTCTAAGTGGCTGTTCCATGTTAGCTTATGATCAAGAACTATGCCTAGATATTTGACCTCGCTTGACATAGACAGTTCGGTATTAAATAACTTGGGAAATTTAACCGTATCCAAGTTACGTTTTTCGTGAACATGACCATCTCTGCTTTGGTCGTACACCAGGTTTCGATTATCTTGAGAGCGTTACTCATTAAGTTGCACATCACATTCTGGAATGGCCCGCTTATGAGGATAACTAGGTCGTCCGCATAGCCAACTGTGTAGTTATTGCGTTGATTGAGTTGGCAAATTAATTCGTCAACCACAATGTTCCACAGGAGAGGGGATAAAACGCCTCCCTGTGGGCAACCCCACGCCACTACAGCTCTCTTCGTAGTGTTCACAGACACTTGTATTGCTCTGTATTTCAGCATGTTGTTGATCCACCCCGCAGTCGTGGGGTCAACTCCATGTCTGACAAGTGCTTGGCTGATGCTTGTAAAGTTTGTTTTATCAAAGGCGCCTTCAATGTCAATGAAGACCCCGAGCGTTGATTGTTTTGGTGATTCACGTTCTATTTGTCTGACTACGATGTGTAATGCGGATTCGGTGGACTTGCCCATGCTGTAGGCGTGTTGATTTGCATGAAGTGGTACACGCTTTAGAGCATCATCTCTCAAGTTCCTGTCACACATTCTCTCCAGCACCTTTAGGAGGAATGATGTGAGACTTATCGGTCTTAATGCTTTAGGTTGCGTGTAGTCACTTTTGCCTGGTTTGGGTATGAATATAACCTTAACCTCTCTCCACTTGGCACTGGTATGTACCGATAGGCAAGACATCCTGTGTAGATTCGCAGTAGATGCTCGAGTATCGATTCTTCGCACCATTGCAGTAGGCCCGGTAAAATATGTCAAAAATTGTCTACATGTGCCAAATTAAGATATAATATAAACGATAAAATGATAGAATTGAAACAGGTGGCTGCGCGGCCCATTTACCCCATTTAAGGTATTCTCAAAATATGTTCACTTACGGAATTCACAAGTTAAAGGACATGCGTCGTCTACTTAAAACTATATGAGTGATTATAATGTTATTATTTATAATGACAAGTATGAAAAAAGAACAAGGTAGTATGGACTTTCTATTTAATGCCTTCCCAATGGGAGAATTTATGAAACAGTCGACGTCAATATTACTAGTGTCACTGTCATCGCCAGAAAAATCCGATGAAGTCACATTAATGAAGAATTGGCTGTATGGATTTCATCCAAGGCCGTTAAACTTTAAAAAAAAACAGAATTAAAATCCGCACTGATGCCAGATGGGGCGATTTCCCCTAAAAATAGGGGGTTTTAAAAAAGTGATGGGGTTTTTATGGGGGTATCAATGGGGGAAGCGGGTTTGGGGGAAATGTGGGATTTTTAATATTTTTTAGGTATATGAAAATAAAACTACTTCATAAACTTTTAATCTGTAAAAAGTCGCGATCAACAGACAATCAACAGTATCTCCTCCTCATTCTCATAGAGAAACGGGCCCATTGAACTGTTTTCATTCAGTGAGCTGACACGTATGGGATTGTCAGTAAATTGGTACTGACAATTTTGTCATGGCCCTTTTCTAACGCGTTTCTAGAGAGAACCTTTTCCCAAGTAGGGAAAAGAGATTGCTCAAATTGGCTCAAATGTACAAAAAATATTGACATATACGGTATTTCTTGGCGTAATTTATACTTCATTTTACAGTCATTAGATTTTAACGGACACTTTTGTATAATATATTCATTTTAAAAAGGACTTTTAATTTTACCGGTTTGGTAGTAACATTCAGCCAAAGAAATCGAAGTTGTTTATATGAAATCAAAACAAATCTAAAATAATAAATCATTTTTTTTATTACAATGTGGTATTAATATCTACAAGTATAATATCATTTTTATTACATGCAAATTTGCTAAGACAAATATTATAGATGGTAGGCGACATCATAAAGTCTATTGCCATAAATTTTTCGCCAAACACGTCCATAAACACATTATAAGGTGTGATACACCAAAAATCTAAAATATGGTTATAATATAAACATAACAAAAATAATAGGCTTTCTTCAGTTAACGAGAGTGTAAAATTCTCCCTAATCTGTGGGTCATTCACAAATAACCCTTGCAAGTAACACACAGTTTCTGTCAAAGAGTACCTTATTATAACCGGAAATGCATAGATGATACCTGATTTTAAAAGTTACTCTTATGCATTAACTATAAAAACCGACAACCATCTACTAATCTACAAGCTTTATATACCTGAAACTTATACATAATTTCGGTACTTGGTTTGATTTCCCTAGTTAGCTATATAAGTAACTAACTTGTTTTCTATTGTACCTATTTGCAAACATAACCTCAAAATCATTCAGTGTATATGGTTTATAGAAGTTCTCAGGGGTGTCCGTCAATAATATTCGTTTCTACGGTAATTAATATATATATTCGAACCTAGGAAACAATTTTTCATGATTATTGGTCTTTAGGCCAAACATGTATGGAAGCTGAGCAATCTCCATTAAGGATAAATTAAGAAATAGATTGGCTATTCACACCGCGGTATCCATCCTAAGGACAAGATATACTTTGACGGAAACTTGTAATAATTTTCATACAACTTTAAAGTTGTTGAATAATTCAACTCGGAAAAAAAATACGGTACCTACTAGGACTACTGAGTCAACATCTTCGCATACAGACGACGCGTGCGAGGATCCAGTAATGGATGTTATTGCAGAAATACATATTTTTTACTAAATATTGTATTTTTAATATAAATTTTGCATGTAGGGGGGTTTTTTCTTTAAAAACCTGTATTTTGGGGAATTTCTGGTAAGTTTTGGGGAGAAAACGAAATGGCTTTCTGGTAACACTGGAAATCCGTCACATCAGTGTCAAAGTTGGTAAATAAATATCAAATCGAAGAAATTCTCGGTCGAAAAAGTTTTTTGAATAGAATTTAATTATGTCTGGCGATGATTGTGATGCATTAGATCGCGGAGATAGCGATGGGCAAAAATCAGACAAAATGTTTACATTAAAAAAATGGAATGCGGTTGCGATGTGGAGCTGGGATGTGGAATGTGATACCTGTGCCATTTGTCGAGTTCAAGTTATGGGTAAGTTCGACAATTTCTAGTTATTTGTTTTTGCAAAACTACGAAACTATGTAGGTTATTACTGTTGCATCATTTTTATACTCTGTCAAAATTTTAACCTACTCGTTTTATCAAGAATCAGCAAGTGTATATTATCTTGGGAGTCTACCTGATTTTATATTTTCACATTCTTATGTGTAGATAACTATTTCACTGTCATATGTAAGTAGTTTGAAAAAAATATAATCTGCTGGGGCTTGCGTGGAACAGTGAGCTTACCACGTTATAACGAAAGTGAGATTAAAACAAAATTCTATTAGAATAAATCATTTGAGTACAATAGATATATATTATGTTATCAATATTTGTACCATTAGTTTTAGGTGTATTAGGGTGTATTTTCAAATAAAACTAAAAACAAACTATACTTCCAGGAATTTTGTTTCCTTTTATTTCAAAAATACTATACATTCAATAAAATGAACTGATTAGCTAAATAGTTATGTTAACAGTAAACTTAAAACTAACATCTATGCTCAGAGATGTCACAAACTTTAATGCTTTTGAAGTGATGTGTTATATTCTATTGTTGTTGCAAATAATGTGACAAGATCAACATTAATAAAACTTAAAAATTGACGTCTTTCTGTGACCATTACCTCATTATTCCAAAACACAGACTAAAGTTAGTCTGGGTTTGATTCTAATGTTGTCTCCACCATCTTTTTAGCAAACAAAAATGACAGCGTAATTTTTTGTAATAAGGCTGATAGTGTCTTAAATAAAAACTTATATTAAATATGAATATGTACAGAAAATAAATTATATTACACTAAAACATTATTTACTTAAGCTTATTAGTACTTATAAATTATTGAAATATTATCTAAATAAATAAACTGCAAAAAATAACTTTTTCTTATCTTTATTCGTTTCATTTAATATTTTGTTGAATGCATTTTCATTGGTAGGTTTAATAAATACTGGTTAGTATTACTTATAATTGACAAAAAGATTTTTTTTAAATTGTTGTATCTCAATAACTGCACCAATATTATAATTATTTTGGGATAGTCTGACTCAAATACTATCCATTACAATACAATATTTTAGATATGGGTATCAATTCTACATAGTTAATGTACATAATAGTTATTTAATTTTGTATCAAAATGTTGTTGCAGCATAGTATTTCCTACTGTCACAATTCTTGTTATACTAATGACTAAAAATATATATATTGATGGTGATAAATTAGTGAAGCAAATGTTATTGTTCTTTTGTGTTTCAGTAAAAAAAATAAAAATAGCAACACTATGTATATACACTATTTATATAGACGTAATAGTATGTTAAAGTAGTACTAATCATTCTTTGTTTATTTATATTCCTCTCTGTCTCTTCTTATTGCAAAACAGTGAACTATTAATCTAATAAATTATTTAGGGGGTGAAAATCTATTAAAAGTATGAAAAGTTCTGATCAGAAACTGATCAGTTATTGGTCTGATATTGGTTTTGGTTTGATGTTTATTCAGGTTTCAGGATGTTATTTGACATAATTATCTATATATTGTCTATTTACAAAAGTCTGGTATTATACTTAAAAATGATTAACATCCACTTGGTAAGGGTTTAATGTTGGCTATTGAGCTCATTCTACGTGCTTTAGGAGTTTCCCTGCCTGTTAATTTTGTTTCTATTTGCTCAAGACTTTTTCCCCTAGTTTCAGGGACACATATTATCACAAAAAATAAACCAGCAAAGCAAATACAGCCAAACAACCAAAATGTTGCAGCAGGCCCTATCCCATCAATGATATTCAGAAATGTTTTGGTTACTGTAAATGTGCATAACCAATTAAATGCAGTACAAATAGATGCAGCAGCTCCTCTTATTTTTGCTGGCAATATTTCACCCATCATGAGCCATGGTATGGGGCCAAATGCTAATGAGAATCCTAGTAAATAGATCATTAGACTGGTTAATGGTAACCAGCCTAATGAAGAAGCATCCATTTTCAAGTCATTTTGAACGTAAAAGAATGTACCCAGTACAACTAAAGTAATTGTCATGGTAACTGAAGAAATATATAGAAGTACTTTACGACCTGCTCTATCAATTAGTGCTGTTGCTATGAATGTGGACATGAAATTGACTATACCTACAATAATTGTCGACAAGTTTTCGTCAACGGCGCTCCCAGACATTTTAAATATAGATACTGTGTAAAAAATTACAGCATTAATACCCGATAGCTGTTGAAAGGTCATCAAACCTAATGAGATTAATATTGACTTCATGTATTTGCGACTAAACAAATCTTTGATACTGGAATCATCACTTTCTACTTCGGCATCGGTGAGAGCTATATCACGCATTTCGCCATCAATTTTTGCTTTTTTCCCTCGTAGCCACTGTAAAGATTTCCTTGCTTCTTCCGTCTGTCCGTTCGATAAGTACCACTGGGGAGTTTCCGGGATCATAAGCATCAATATAAAAAACGGAATCGGTAAACAGGCACCCAAATATGCTAACTCTGACCAGTTAAGGTATTTCCCAGCAAGATAACAAATCAAAATGCCAATATTGCCAATTGCTGTTGGAAATAGTCCCAAAGTGCCTCTGACTTCTGGTTGTATTGTTTCACCGAGATATACGGGAAATGCTAGGGATCCGATACCGACACATAAACCGCAAATCACACGTCCTGTCAAAACAAGGTGAACTATTTTGGCCGTAGCTATTAAAATCCATCCCAAAAAAAATGGAGGCGCAGTACATATTATAGTTTTTCGTCTTCCAATGTAATCCACGAGTGGGCCACCAATAATGCCCCCAGCAAGTGCAGCCAGTGGCATCAAACTGCCTACCCAGCTCGCCTGTGGAATTAAGGTTGAAATAATTAATTCCATTTTTATAAGATGCAAGGACATTTTTAACGATAAACGTCATGGAAAAGCATCGTGGTATATTGCGTGATGAATTTGGTATATTTTTGTGAGTCTCAGTAATTTATCTATCTTTATTGCGCCATGATCCACGGAGTTGTCAGTGATAATGGCGCTTGCAACAGTGCCGAAATATAGGAGACTCATAAAAAACAACAAACCCGTTATAAAACATTAGTGACCATTTAAAGTTTAAAATTATATTTATGTATCTTTATTGTAAATATTGTAGTGTATATTTTACGCAACAAACAACGATAATTAGATGGAATATCTTACCTCTTCTTTAGTTATTGATATCGTAGTGCTGTTCTCCATGGTGACTAAAGCCGGTGACGTATAAGCAGATGAAAAACCAATTATCATTGAACCCATTGATACTGCAACTGCAGCCAAAACCTGTGATAAAAAAACCTGTGTTAATAAGATGATATAGTGTTTGCTGCTAAAGTGAATTTAATATGCGTTCGCAAATATAGCACATTCCCAGGCAAAGAAACGGGCAATTTGTTTTGATGACCGGCTGGTCTTCACCTTCTGCTACAAATGTCTTGGGTTCGAATTCTGTTAGAGACATTTAATTGTGTTATGGGTACAAAAAAGTATGCCCGAGTCAAGGTGGTACATATAAAGGTTTATGTTTCTTTAAGATATCAATTTAATTTCCATCGTTCGTATTGCCTTAGTTAGTTATTATTAAATAAGAGCTGTGCCTTGTGCGGAATATATTGACTATGTATACAATACAGTTTGATTCATCTAACGCACTATATGTCCCGCATGACGCTTTTACGATTCATCTATTAGACATACACATGTAAGCGTTAATATTAGGATGACGTTGTTTGCGAGGAGGTGTGCGCAGCCGTCTTCGATTAATTTAAGCAATCGTGGACTCTGATTGTGGACTATGACCATTAGCAATGTGACAAAACTTTTGAAGCGAAACATTTATTAACCTACTCTAGTCTTTATGATGTTTACAGTAATATATTTCCTTATTTTTCTCATACTTTTCATATAGCTACGGTCTAATATACATTGAATTGTAAACTCACTACTATCTTTCCATTCTAATATAGCAAATGCTTAAGTAAATCTGTAAGGTTGAATCCATTTTTATAAACTTTGATATGGAGATAAAAGGGTTTCATAAATCTACCCATGATATTATATAATATAAAAATTTTGGTGTCAGAGTGGTGCTATCGAACTCCTCCAAAATGGCTTCTGATTTTTGTGAAAGACTAGCCGACGACGCAGCTTACTTCGTATCGCCTAACAGTGAAGGTATGTAGCCTACATCTCAAAATGTTTGCTTAATTAAATAAGCAATTTAACAACCGAAATAAAACAATAAAAATTAAGTTACTTAGTTATTAGGATATTACATATACAAAAAATGAAAACTCAATAACGTGTACTTCAATGGCGTTTCAGCGAAATTTAACTGCCACTGATAAGGCCAGTCATGAGAGCATGCAGCACTGCATTTTCGTGTAGTCGCACCAGTCCCACCCCTCCCCTTTTTCGCGGAACAAATGAAACCTGGGTGTCTCATACCAGAAACCTTTTTTATTGGTTATTATTTTTTTTAATAGCGCCGTCGGGTATCTGCATTGCATCATCTTCATTTCGAGTTCTATTAATGACATGTTTAACTATATGGTTTATTATCTGGGAGTCTTCACTTGCTAGGTTTAGTGTCGTAGGCTATTAGACAAGTATATTTATAAAGATCTATTGTGGTTACTGATTTACAGTACCAATAAGATTTGCAGTACAAATAAGCTTTGCAATGCGTGACGTGAGCTGTCAATGGTGGAAGATGGCGGAATACCAATCCTTATTTTAATTTATTCGAATACTAGTCACCAGCCCTCGCTTCGCTTCGGCGAAGACAATAGTTTTTGTTCTCAGGCTTGAATTATTCATAATATTATATAAAAAATGTCTAACTAAGGGTGAACATTTTGTAGTAGGACCCGTTGTACCGATGTACCATTGCTTTGCTGCTGAAAAAAGTCGGTCCCCGTTACCATTGGTCCGTATTAATAAACGTTCCTGGTGCCGCCGTGTTTTGTACACATTATATAGTCTTGAATAATCACCAGCCTATTAATGTCCCCACAGGCCTTCGCTATTTATGGATTAGGGAGATTGAGCTATGAATCACCATGCGGGCCCAGTGTGGATTGGTGGATCCTAACGACTAAAGATGTTGCCGGAAGCAACATATTGGCTTAACGTGTTGAGATAATAAGTTTTGGTCACCCATGCAACGATCGACCATTGCGAAAGTTGCTTAACTTTCACGATCGCAGGGCGAACGTGCTATCCACGTGCGCCATCGAATATATATCCGTATTGGATACGAAGTGATTTATTTGTATAATGAGGCTTAGTTTGTAGTTTAGCTTTTGTGAGTTACATTATAGGATTGAAGGTCCCATTTTTAGGGTTTTCGCATATATCTCGGAAACTATGCATCCTAGCGACATGAGACTTTGACAAAAGTGAAAGCTGATTAAATTTGCTACCAAGTCTTATTCAGTCAAGTTTTTTGATATATTGTATAGTTTTCGAGATATCCACTCTTGAAAGTCTGTAATTATGGAAAAAAAAATTGCCACCACTTTCTGGGAATGCCGTTTTACTGCTCCCTCGGTGGGAGGAAGACAAGAGATATCAGGCTTGATGGTGGCCACTGATTTCAAGAATGACTTGTACCCGTAGGCATTGAGGGAAATCTCTTTCGCTGGAGCTCCATACCACCTTAAGATGCAGGTTTCACCTGCCTTTTGTACTTGAGCGGCGGTGGAGAAAGGGTGTGAAAAGACCGCTGCTGCTTTCTGGATTTCTGGTGACTTGATAATGTCTCTGGTCTCTGGGAAGGGAGGAAATTTCTCAAACCAATCGGTGAGCTTGGCAATGTCAGCTCCATCCTTGTTTTGGCGGGCTTGTCCGAAATCTGCATGCTGCTCACTGGTGGAACCAACAACCCTACGGCCGGCATTGTTGAAGAGTTATCCGGTCAAATAGAGCAAAAATGTGAAGCAAACTTTTTTTCCATAATTACAGACTTTTAAGAGCGGATATCTCGTAAACTATACAAGATATCAAAAAACTTGACTGAATAAGACTTGTAGCAAATTTAATCAGCTTTCACTTTTGTTACAGTCTCATGTCGCTAGGATGCATAGTTTCCGAGATATATGCTAAAAATGACCTTCAATCCCCCTATAGATCTACCTTCTTCTGATTTAAAACTGAAATAACCTAGTTACGAGCGTAGGTAGACAGACGATGTCATGAAGACACTTGAAATTCAATAATCTATTTAATATTCACATTAAGTTAACGTTAAGTGACAGCTCTATTTAGGTCTTTGGTAGTGTGGTACGTTGTCTTCATATATTTAAATAATTGGATTTATAGAAAAAAAATGCTAAAGAGCTACAATGGAAGTAGGTATTTTATGGAATATTAAAATATGGTATTAGAAAATATATGTGTGCTTACATATTATAACTATAACACATGTAATTCGTTTGCATAGTAGCAGTAAGCAGAGGCGCAAAGCACATCAGTCTACGAATCAGTACACAATACCTATGTCTACCTATTTAGTACTATGGATCAGGTTGATAACCTACCAATTATTCCTTGAAATAAATCCGAAGCTGGCGCATACATATCAGCCCAGCATGGAAAAATCTTGTGTTCTTTCATTATTGTGTTATTGTTGCGCTTGTCCTATGAAATTGGGCATAATTGGTCGCCACCGGTAATTAAGATGTATGGTGAACTAACCTATTCTACTGTGCTAAAGTGAAAACGAAATAGTTTTTTGCTTTTTCTTGAATTTTAGAATTAGTCAAATTTTATCGAATTCATTTTTTTGTACGTTTTCTTAAGTAAAAATAAAACAGTTAATTGAAATAAGTAATCAAGTTTGTTATTTACAGTTGTCTGTTTGACTTAAAATAATATAATCACGATTCTAGTGGTTATTTTTTTATTTAATACACAATTCAGCTAGTATTCTATGAAACAATTTTGATGAAACAATGAAATCACTGATAATTTCCTGCTAATAATAAAAAATAAAGATCTGACTGCAGTGCCAACAACTGGGTCCAGTGGTGCATCTCCATCTTCCAGAGACCCACTCAAAATATCATAATAAGTACCTACTAAATTCATCACGCAATCACACAATTAAAATCGGTCAAATCGTTAAGAAGAAGTTCAGTGACATTTATTTGTTATACGGAATAGTTATATACTATAGTTTTAATTGGCGGTTATTTAACATTTAAGTATTTTAGTATTGCTTAAGTTGCAGAATCTGACCTGGGAAAATGTGTAATTTGGCTTCTCATAGTCGGCACAACTTCGTACTCCTATACTATAATGTGTGTCGGCTCTCATCAAAATCTTCATTGTCAGATTTTGTAATTTCACTTTTCCTTTTAATTTATACACAAAACCACAATATCACCGTTACAAAATTGTAAATATTATGCACCACCGTGACAAGTATACGTCTAAAGAAGAAATGCGTGTCTCGCACGACGCTCTTGGGATATATATGAGCGCAAATTGATTAACAAAACTGATTGGCTGTGGAGGCTAAAAACAAAACAGACCGGAGAAAGAGAACGTTTTGTATGATCACTTCTATTTTTTATTCTAAGACTTACATATTTTTTTATCAATATGATGAAAATTATCGTTTATTTATTATTAATATATATTTATTGTAAACTAACTCCCATGTTAAAAACAGGGTTTTGATTAGAAATTCTGTAAAGCTGTTAGGCAACTGAAAGGTATGATCAAAAACACGAAGAATTGTATAAAATGGCATTATTTTTAATTATCATGTATTATTATTTTGTCAATTTCAGTTTCCTAACATTTTTAATTAACTGAACTGACTGCCTGATACTGAGAATATCTCGTGACTATACTGTATCCTTTTTCAGTTTGGTTAGATTTGTTTTTGATAAAATGGAATCTGTGCTTTTCAAATATTAATGAAGATGATCACGATGCTATAGTAAGTTTATAAATATTCTTAATGTGTGTGACCTTTCTAATTGATTTTACAAAAACTAAATTTAAAAAAAACTAACATGAAATTTAAAAAAAAAATATTAAATTGATAAAAAGTGCTTCTAACTAAGAGCGGCCATACACGGACTGCTCGCTCGAGCAGTTAGTCGGTGATCAACATACACGCCTTATCGAGCAGTCGCAACTGTTCGAGCGGTCTGTGTATGTTTATTCTGTATACGTAGAAGAATAGTTCACTATACAGTCGCAGTTGGAAGCGGTCCATACTGATGCTAAGAACTCACGCCCATGATTGTTGTTTATGGATTCCATAAAAAGTTTGAAGTTTATTTATGTGTGACGTCATTTTAGTCTCCGCTATCCAATCCCAGATGTTTTCGGCCACGTGACAATAGATATAAAATGTATTTTATTTTTCGTGGTTTTTTACAGAAATTACGAAACGTTTTGTTTAAAATTATAGAGATATATGATTGGTCTTCCTGCGGTAGACTATACCGCCGCCGGCGTACTTGTCAAATGCGGCCACAAATACTACACCAAAGTCGGCGTACCCGAGCTTTCACCGAGCTAGTTACACTGACATTTGTGTATAAGGTGTACGTATCGAATGTTTTATCTAAGTTGGGTGTTAATCGAAGTAAAATGCCAGTTTTACGTAGTGAATAAATATCAAGGACACTGGAATCACATATCATCAATTTTAACATAAAACAATACATGAACCATAAAAGATATTCAAGTAATCAATGTGGATTTATTGTTTATTATTTAAACCCATTTCATTGATTTAATCTAGCTATTACTTTGACAGCAAAACTTATTATTTATATATCCAATCTACCTTATGTTTTCTGATTTTTTTAATAATATCTGTTTTGTAAATATTCTAAAATCAGAAAGTTTTGAAATATTAAAAAACTAACTTCTTTGAAAAAAATATTTTTATTAAATCTTTTCAAAGAACTCTTCACCAGCCTCTATAAAAAGTTTCATGCGACTGAACCAATTTTAAAAAAAATTTTTCCTTCTTTCGTGTTTTTCAAACGCTGCTAGCGCTTCTTCCGGCGATAATCATATCACTGCTGCACCAATCCACACGGGTCTGCCTCTGAGCTTCTGAGAGGTTGTGCGGCACCCTATCCGCCTTACGCAAAGGTGCTCGTGCAAAATCTTGTGAACACTTCCTGAACCAATCTGCAGAGTATACTGAATCTCCTCGTACGTAATTCGTCTGTTTTCTTGAATTATTTTTTTTACTGCCAGCACACTTTGTGGCGGTCGCTGGGTTTGCAGTAAATGAAGCCACACTGGATATTTTTGATGAACTGTATTTCTTTAATTAATTTTAACAAGTGTAGTACAGTAGCCACTTCGGCGACGCACAAAACGTAACTGAACTCATTCCAGTCACTTAATCCATTCATTCTTATGTATGTTTCATACATAAATTGGGCATAAAAGCAAAATAAATAAACTAAACATAAGCAAATGGTTGTGTCCTAAGTTACAAGTTAAACGGATTCTGTTAATAAACATATAGATAGCAAACGACACGTTATCATTGTATTTATTGATTACTCCAAAGCGTTCGATACACTTCGTCACGATATGCTCGCTGATAGTTTGGAGGAAAGTGGGATACGTGGTTCTTTATTGGAATGGTGTAAAAATTACTTACAAAACCGAACATACTCGGTGAAGGTGGATGATGCAATAAGTAATAAAATTCATTTGGCGGAAGGGACAGCACAAGGATCAGTATTAGGACCCTTACACTACATTACTTATGTGAATAATCTTACAAACGTCATTAAAACTTGCGAAATGTACCAATTTGCTAACGATACCTGTTTAATTGCTGCTGACCCTGATGTTAACATGGCGCTTAAAAAGTTGCAAACTGACTTTACACTACTTTGTAAATGGTCCCATGATAACGGACTCGTATTAAATGACAGTAAAACGAAAGTTATGTATATTAGCACTAGTCAAAATAGAAAAGAAACTCCTATAGTACTCGTATCACATAATCATAATTGCTTGCATACCAATAACTTTAACACTAATTGCTGTTGCGACGCACTGAAAGTTGTAAAAAATCAAACTTACCTCGGGCTAATCATTGACGATCGGTTGACATGGGCCGATCATATTCAACACGTGTGTGATAAATTACGAGCACTTGCAAAGTTTTCTATACTTAAACATAAAATTCCTTATCCTATATTGTTATATTTATATAAATCACTGGGGGAATCGATAATTTCTTATGGACTGAGTAGTTATGGACGTACTGCGAAATCACATTTACATCGCATCTATGAACTTCAAATGCGCATTTTAAAAACCATTGTCCCTCGTAAAGTGAGGGAGAAATATAAAAACAATTATCACGTATTGTTCTCTTATTGCTCATTGATGCCGGTTCAGGAGAAATTTAAATATAACATATTAACAGAACAATTCTTCAATACTGATATTCAAAAGGTTTCATCTCATAGTAAGTTAACTCGAGGCGTTGCAAATAATAAATTATTAATTCCAAAATCAAATAACCTATATGGGCAACGAACATTACAATTCATTGTTCCAAATTTAGTAAAAAAGTTACCATTTGAAATAAAAAACGCACTAAATAAAGGAAACGTAAAACGCATATTAAAAAGTCACTTTATCAAAAAATTAAAAATAATTCATTTAAAATAACCGTTACAACGAACCTAAAATAAAAACATTAAAAAAAGTCATATTTATCATTACAATTGGAGCATCCTTTATCTACGATAACTGCATTTCGACTTGTATGCTTAGCTAGTAAAAAAAAACTTACCCAACCGGTATAGGTTCGTGCGAGTGCAAATTAATTGTCATGCCAATGTTTGCTATTTGCAACATACCCACTTATTTTATAAAATATTGTTATTTAATGATAGTTACTACAGTGTGACAACCTATATTTATTTATTGTAACTAGATGTAAAGCGGTGAATGTAGTGCACGAATAAACCTTTCTGGTTTTTGTTTGCACTATAATATGTATTATAATTGTAATATTGCTTGATTAAATAAATTAAATAATAATAAAATTAGAGTATCTTGGCTGAAATTACTTCCACTATTTCTTCACCCTAAAAAGTAGTTTTGAGGAAAATTTCAGCAATTTCGTATGTGTAGGAGAGGAGATACAGCTTTTTAAACAAGAAATCATTCTCTTGAGACAAAATAATTTATTACAATAAACTATTAGAGTATCTTGGCTGAAATTACTTCCACTATTTCTTCACCCTAAAAAGAAGTTTTGAGGAAAATTTCAGCATGTTCGTATGTCTAGGAGATGAGATACAGCTTTTTAAACAAATAAAATTCTACTGAGAAAATATATTTTTACAACTAAACTATTAGAGTATCTTGGCTGAAATTATTTCCACTATTTCTTCAACCTAAAAACAGGTTTTGGGGAAAATTTCAGCAAGTTCGTATGTGTAGGAGATGAGATACAGCTTTTTAAACAAAAAAAAATCTCCTGAATAAATATTTTTTACAACTCAACTATTCGAGTATCTTGGCTGAAATTACTTCCACTGTTTCTTCACCCTAGAAAATTCAGCAATTTCGTATGTGTAGGAGATGAGATACAGCTTCTTTCATTCTCCTTAAAAAAAATATTTCATCTCATCTAATAATATCACATCTCCTACACATACGAACTTGTTGAAATTTTCCCCAAAACTTCTTTTTAAGATGAAAAAATAGTGGAAGTAATTTCAGCCAAGATACTCTTCTAGTTTAGTTTTTTGCGTACTTCAACTTTTTCTTAACATCGAAAAGGAGTCAAAGAAGTTCTAGCTCTAGTAAGATACTTTACTTGTGTATACAAAGATACTTCATTGTATTTTTTTAAAAACATAACTTCATTTTTGTTGGGAAGAGGAATGATGTGCTACCTTATTTCATTTTAAAGGAGAATGCCCATATTTGGTACAGCTTTGTCTCATGCCTCAAGATAAAATTATTATGATAATTATTTTCTTTAATTTATACGTACGATGGCCTATCAGAATGGCTATTTTGAACAGGGAATAATTTTAGAAATAATATTAGTCATAGTACTGTTTATATTTTGAGCCGGATATCTGACGTTTGTTTATTTATCGTAAAAATAGTGATGCCATAGTACCCTATTAGTTATACATTATAATCGATTGTTGTTTTTGTTACCGATGAGTGGACTATCAAAAAGCAAATAAATCACGTGTTACTAATTATTGTTTAATAGTGATTTTACGTTTTTATTGTCTTAACTGTTGCGATGACAACTCGTCATTTATCTATTTCGTCTCTATGCTTAATACGTCGCATTC